TGGGGTCAAGATCCCACAGAGCCAGGATTTTTAGTTTTAACTTTCTGCTGTTGCTGGGATCTCAAAGCTGGAAGTGGAAGCTCTTATTCCACTCTCTGCTGCAGCTAAAAGCTGGGGTTCTCTTCCTGCTGCTAGAATTGCATGTGCGACAATCTGTTTTACTGAATTTGCGTTTGCTAAGGGTGTGGTTCTGGGATGTTACTATGTTGGAACAGTTAAATAGTCGTAGTTAATATATGTATTATTTTGTGAAACATTTTGATATACAGTTTCAGCTAAGCCAATTCCTTCCTTTTCTTTTTATTTTGTCTGTATTTTAATTACAGCGTATGAATAAAGTGACTTGCTTCAAGGCTGGTTGTCTGACCAATAGCATTACTCCAGAGCTGGTTTGCTGTCCCGGAGACGTTTCATTACCGTGCTTGGATATCCTAGACCCTATATTTTCTTATGACAAGTGCCAGGCTTTGTGTTCTGGAGTAATTCTAAGGTTTTGGAGTAGATCTGTAGCTCGGGTTGTGGGTGTTGAGCTGGTTTGTTGTTCCGCAGACGTTTCATTACCGCGCTGGGTTGCAGCCTCTGATGAAGCGTCGGTGTGTTTTCCCGCCTGGTTTTTAAACTCCGGTGTCCGTTGCGATGGATTGCCTCACTTCCGGGTTTCCTCCGTAGTGGAATGTACACGGGGTCGAGTTCAATGTGTTTGAGAATTCCTGGAAGCATGGCACTCCACGAAGCAGACTATTAATAAACACATTGGAGGAGAAATCAAAGAATCAGTAGAGCATTTGCCCCCTGATACCCATTGATGCCAGTTTTGTCAGGGCTCCTTGATGCCACACTCTGTCGAATGCAGCGTTGATATCAAGGGCTGTCACTCTCACCTCACCTCTGGAATTCAGCTCTTTTGTCCATGTTTGAATCAAGGCTGTAATGAGGTCAGGAGCTGAGTGGCCCTGGCGGAACCCAAATTAGGCATCACTGAGCAGGTTGTTGCTGAGCAGGAGTTGATGGCCCACAGCACCTCATGGATGCCCAGTCTTGAGTTGCTAAATCTATGCAGTCTGTCCCATTGTGCATGGTGATAGTGCCACACAACACGATGGAGGTTGGTCTCAATGTGAAGGTGGGACTTCATCTCCATAAGGACTGTGTGATGGTCACTCTTACCGATACTGTCATGGACAGATACAACTGCAGCTGGCAGATTAGTAAGGATGAGGTTAAGTATGTTTTTCCCTCTTGTTGGTTCCCTCACCATCTGCCGCAGACCCAGTCTAGCAGCTATGTCCTTTAGGACCCGACCAGCTCAATCAGTAATGCTGCTGCTGAGTGGTGGACATTGAAATCCCCCACCCAGAGTACATTTTGTGCTCTTGCCATCATCAGTGCTTCCTCTCAGTGTTGTTCAACACGGAGGAATACTGATTCATCAGCTGAGGGAGGATGGTATGTGGTAATCAGCAGGAGGTTTCCTTGCCCATGTTTAACCTGAATCGATTAGACCTCAGGGGGTCCGCAGTCAATGTTGAGGACTCCCAGAGCAACTCCCTCCCAACTGTATCCCACTGTGCCACCCCCTCCACTGGGTCTGTCCTGCCGGTGAGACAGGACATATCCAGGGATGGTGATGGTGGTGTCTGGGACATTGTCTGTAAGGTATGATTCTGTGAGTATGACTAGGTCAGGCAGTTGCTTGACTAGTCTGAGAGACAGCTCTCTCAATTTTGGCACTAACCGCCAGATGTTAGTGAGGAGGACTTTGCAGGGTCAACAGGGCTGTTTCTGCCATTGTCATTTCCGGTGCCAAGGTTGCTGCCAGGTGATCCATCCAGTTTATTCCTTTTAAAGATAATTTTAGATGTTTCTGTAAGATCCTCCCTCATTCTTCTCAATTCCAATGAGTATAAGTCCCAGTCTACTCACTCTCTCCTCCTAAACCAAACCTCTCAACTCCAGAATTGTGAAAATTAGCCAGCATAGACATGTTGGGCCAAAGGGCCTGTTTCCTCTAGGGATACTGTTTTGACAGTCATAAAGGGCTGTATTTGTCACCATGAATTTGATTCCAGATTTTATTGAATTCAAATTCCACCAGTTGCCATGGTGGGATTCGAACCCTGGTCCCTGGGACATTACCAGGTTGTCTGGATTACTAGTCCAGCAATGACATCCCTACACCATTGCTACAGAGCCAGATTGGAGAAATTACAACTGCTGTGTTTTATGAAAGACCTTCAGGATATGCAAGCTGCTGCTCACGCCTGTTCTGCAAAGTGGTCAACTGTCTACTGTCCTCTGGGCAATTAGGGATGAGCAATAAATGCTACCTTCCCATGAACAAATAAAAACATTCTCCCTATGTTATCATCTCCCCTCAATGACATTAACATCATTTTAGAACATAAGGAACAGGAGCATTCAATAAGATTGTGGTTGATCTTTCCATGGCCTCAGCTCAACTCACCATAACCATCACCCGCTCACCATTCACTGTTCAAAAATCTGTCTTTGCCTTAAAAACATTTAACAAGGAAGCCTCAACTATTTAATTGGGTGGGGAATTCCACAGATTCACAACACTTTGGGTGAAGAGGTTCCTCCTCAACTCAGTCCTAAATCTGCTCCCCCTTATTTTGAGGCTATGCCCCTAGTTCTAGTGTCACTCACCAGTGGAAACAACCTCTCTGCTTCTATCTTATCTATTCCCTTCCTCATTTTATATGTTTCTATAAGATCCCCCCTCATTCTTCTCAATTCCAATGAGTATAGTCCCAGTCTGCTCAATCTCTCCTCCTAAGCCAATCCTCTCGACTCTGGAAGCAATTTAGTGAATCTCTTCTGCACCTCCTCCAGTGCCAGCACATCCTTTCGCAAGTAAGGAGACTGAAACTGTACACAGTACTCCAGGTGTGGCCTCACCAGAGCCTTACACAGCTGCAGCATAACCTCCCTGGTTTTAAACTCCATCCATCTAGCAATGAAAGATGATATTCCAATTGTCTTCTTAATTATCTGCTGCACCTGCACACTAACATTTTGTGATTGATGTTATGATCACTATCCACATCCTGGGAGGTTACCAATGACTAGAAACATAACTGGACCCACCACATAAACACAACGGCTACAAGAGCAGGTCAGAGGCTGGGAATCCTGCAGCGAGAAACTCCCGCCCTGTCTCCCCGCAAAGTCTGTCCCACCATCTACAAGGCACAAGGCAGGAGTGTGATGGAATACTCCCCACTTGCCCCTGGGTGGGGGCAAGCTCCAACAACACTCAAAGTTCAACACCATCCAGGACAAAGCAGCCTGCTTGACTGGCACCACATCACACTTCAACTACCTCCCTTGCACAGTAACAGCAGTGTGTACTATCTACAAGATGCACTGCAGAAATTCACCAAAGATTCTCAGACAGCACAGATGCTGTCAGATACACGGAGTTCCCCAGATTTCTCTATGTTTGTTTCCAATTTCCAGCAGTCGTAGGACTTTGTTTGTATTGGAACAGCCAATGTACTAGACTTTTCTGTAGCCAGCGTTCCCTCTCCTCTAAGATCTCCCACCCTTTGCCCTCTGACTGGGGAAGCTGTGATATAGTGGTAGAGTCATACAGCACGGAAACAGACCCTTTAGTCCAACCAGTCTATGCTGAGCATGTTCAGAAACTAAGCCAGTCCCACCTGTCTGCTCCTAGCCCTCCACGAGCATTTCTTAATCATGTATCTATCCAAATGCCTTTTAAATGTCGTAACTGTACCCACATCCACCATGTCCTCTCATTCCACACACAAACCCCTCTAAAAATGAAACCCCTCATGTCTTTTTAAAAGCTTTCTCCTCTCACCATAAAAATATGCCCCCTGGTCTTGAATTCCTCCACCCTAGGGAAAAGACACCTACCATTCACCTAATCTATACCAAACGTCGCTGCACCAAAGACACCAACTTGATGTTTTGAGGAAGGGTCACTTGACCTGAAACATTAAAACATCCAATTTCTCTCCAAAGATGCTACCTTCTGTGCTTTTTCAGCAATTTTTGATTTTGTTTCTGATTTCCAGCATCCACAGTTCTTTCAGATTTTTCTTTCATGTCCTGGGGATTTGGGTTCAAAGTCCACCAGGGCAGATGGTCACTGTGAGGTTGGAGGATGGGGTGGGGGAACAGAATGGAAATCTGCCACCTGTACCCAGTCTTGCCTACAACAATGGCTATTCTTGAGCAGTTATTCATCACAAGACCCACATCCCATGAACAAACTTAAAAAGAAACGCTCCCATTACTTCTGCCTAATCAAAGAGCAGGAAAGGGGAGAAACATCTGAACGAGAGTACTCTATTCGACCATTCTCGCCCATTCTGCTGTCCAACAAGATCATCTCCGATCCGACATTAATCTCAAAACATTCCTGCGGATCCCCTGATAATCTTTCATCACCTTGGTCATCAACAATCTGTCCACCTTGGCCTTCAAGATATTTAAAGACTTTTGAGGAAGGGAATTGCAAAGTTTCCTCACCTTGGTTTTAAAGGGGTGCCCCTTGTTTTACAACTATGACTATCTCTCACAAGAGGAACCACCCTTTCCAATCCACTCGGTTCGCGTCCCCTCAGGAGCTTATCTGGTTCAATACTGTCACCTCTGACTCTTCTAAACTCCAGAGGAAACAGACCTAACCCCTGCTTTGTCTTTTCTCGTGAGGAAATCTGCTCCATTCCTGGCAGGGGGAGGGAGCGATGAAGAGGCAACGGCAGAAGTGAAAGGTTTGCAACAAAACAGTCAGCAGTCCAACTGTTGATTATAATTCATTTTTATTAAGTTCTCTTACATTTAAAAACAATCTGATCAACGATTGGTGTATGTTTGTGAGTGTATGTATGTGCTTCGGAGGGTGGGGGAATGAGAACAGTCCCAATGCGGGGGGAGATAGTCTCTCGGGGAGATAGTCTCTCGGGGAGATGTTCAAATTTGTGCCAAGCTGCCGTACCATCAGAGAGCCCAGCCTCTCTGCCCCTCCACTGACGGTGACCAGTCCATGACTGGCTCTCAAAAGAGCTCCTGGCCATGAGAGGAAGTGGGGGGACGTTAGGGTATCCCTGAATTACAACACAACCTAATTGAAACACACCAACATCATATTATAAACTCCTCAAGCAGTGGGGAAGAAATGGAACTGAGCGTGTGAGGGTCAGTCAATCCCTCACTCACTGAGGGCTCCGCACGACAGGTAAATGATCGCTACACTCAGGAGGGAGGAGTGTGCAGACAGGATTGGGCAGGGATCAATGGGGACGGGGTTAATTCACTGAGTCTCTAGTTCAGGTTTCTTCAGACATAGCTGAGGAGTGACCACATTGAAGCACAGACAGAATCAAGACCCAAACACCCTCTCTCTCCCCAAACTGTCGACATCATTCGGCAGGGTCTCTCAGACCTTTCAACCTAAAATGGAGTCCACCCAACAAGTTCCAACAGACAGAGAGAGCGAGTGTGGGCGGGACAGAGACCAGGAGAGAAAGAAAAGGAAAGGGGAAGAGAGAGAGAGAATGGAGTGGGAGTGATGCAGAGACAGGGAGAAAGAGTTGAGGTAGAGATTGGGTGTGAGAAAGAGACGGGGGCAGGGGAAGGGAAAAGGAGGGAGACAGGGGGACATACAGAGAGGGGGGGGGAGAGAGAGAGAGAGAGAGAGAGAGAGAGAGAGAGAGGAAGTACAGAGAAAAAATAGAAAGGGGAAGAGATAAACAGAAAGTGAACTGAAGAGGAAGATAGAGACACAGACAGTGTGAAAAAGATGTAAGAAAAAGAGACTGACAAAGGAAGAGGAAAGACAGAGAATGAAATGAGAGTGAAATGGAGCCAGGGACAGAGCCATCTTTTATCTTCTGTTTGTGGCTGGTGCTAACTCTGGACCAGTTATTATGCAAATATATAGTTAAAACCTGTACAACCAAAATAGTGTGTTACTGAGTTAGACATGTAGTGGAGGAAGAATGGGCTTAGTTCCTGAAATGACTTTGTGTTCATTAACTAAAATAAATAAAGGCTGCAAGGGAACACACCAGAGAGATGGCCCATGGCTGGGCTTCCAGCCCTGCCTGGGCTTCCAGCCCTGCCTCTCTCAGGGCAAGGCTGCTGGGAGAACAGACTGTACTGAGGGAGGGAGGGGAGGGAGGGACGGACAGAGGGCCCAAGAGTGTCGAGGAAGCCAGAGCAAGAGGCACTGGAGGAACAGGTCACTAGCGCAACATACACCACCAGGAGCAGGAACCCTGGCTGATTAAACCTCCTTCTTCCCTCTCTCCAACCCAGGGATCACTAGACAGGGATCAGGAGCAGGAACCCCGGCTGATTTGCCACCCCTCTCTCTATCCCAGGGAGTTATTGGATCCTAATGGTTGGTTGTGGGTGGCGTAGTTTTAGATCTTCCCTGTGGGGAACGGAAGGAGGAAAGCAGAGAGAGAGGGTGCTGAGCAGGAATCCATTCTGCCCTTGCTGGGTTATACCTATTGTTATGAAGTGAGTGGGGGAGTCTGTGCATTGGATCCGTGACAGCCTTATGACGAAGCCACTCACCTCCCGGTGTGACCTCTGAAGGCCCCGCCCCAGGGCCACCCTGCAGTGATGTGTAAGGACCAGCCTCTTGGTCTGTCTCTCTCCCCTGCTCTGTGCCAATCAATCCCCAAACACAACACGGCCCACAAGGTTTTCTTACATTGAGAAAATGAAGGTTTCCCACAATCCAGCACCCCCACAGTCCCAGCTCCATCCCTGTTCCCCCTCCCCCTCCTCTCCTCACCCCGTTCTCCCGTGTTTGTCTGGTGGTTTGCCTTGCTGTGCGGTCCTGGGTTTTATCCTCTCCGGCTCTCCCTCTGTCCGTGCTCCTACAGCCAGCTCCCCGTTGCCCTGATCAGGACCACAGCACGTTGGTGATGTTTGTGTCTGTGCTGTATAGCCAGACCACCAAAGGGCCAACTACCAGGATGAAACTCCAGGAGACCCCTTCCAGCCACGATGCCAGGCTGCTCTTGTGCCTGTTCAGCCCTTCGGCCTCTTTGGGTGGTTCGATGTAGTTTCGGGCTGCGAACTTGAGGGTCTCGTCCAGCAGAATGACTGGCAGTGAGAGCTTGAACACCATGATCCACTGCAGAGTGTGCAGGGGCCGGATCTGGAAGATCAGCTGCAGGACGACAGGCAACGGGACACAGAGACAACGTCAGAGAGGGCATCTTGCACATTTCAGACCGTGTGCCTGCTCTCTGCATGGCTCAGGAGGTATCAGTCCCAATTTATATATCACACGTCTGGCCTGTATTTACAATTACATGTACAGACCATTAACACAAACCATCATCCCACTGTGCCCAGTAAAAATACAGGCCGATATTGTGACGCGCACTACAAACACAGGCCCGTACCCAACACGCGACAACATGAGCTCCATGACAAGCAGCACTGACCGGCAGCGGTTCGATGTACAGGATGAGAAAATGCAGAGCCATGGAGAGGCAAATCGCTCCCAGCAGCCAAACGTTAACCCATGGAGGCATCTTCAGCAGCGACTGGTTCTCTGACAGGCTGGGGAGAGAACAACGGACAGAGGGTCAGGAGACTGCATGGACAGCAGATACAGCACAGGTGGAGAGAGCGAGGGGGAGAAGAGGGAAGGTAAGCAAGAGGGTAGAATAGGGAATAAGGGGGGGCAGTGAAGGTGAGGGAGAGAGAGAAGGTGGGGGGGCAAGATGGGAGATAAAGAGAGCGGCGGTGGGGGGAGGAGGGGCAGCTGGGCGACGTGAGACGGGGGGATGGGGAAGTGGAGCATGAGATGGCGCAGGGGCAGAGACAGGGGTGCGGCATGAGACGGGGGGGGGTGGGGGTGGGCGGGGGGGGGGGGGGAGGGGGGAATACTACAGTCAGGGAGTGCTCACACAAAGTGACCAACAACCAGAATGGTACAAGCCACTTAACCTCTTCTCTGCCTCACCCTCCACTCCCCTCAGCCTCCTACTCCTCAACATGAATCGTGGCCCTACCCCTCACAGTGACACACCCACTAGAAAAGCAGAGTTGGGGCGGGGGAGAATGGTGGGGTAGAGAGAGAGAGAGAGACAGAGAGACAGACACACACACACACACACACACACATATACACGGGGCTGGGAAGGCAAAGAGACAGGTCTTGGAGGGGGACAGAGAAGTGAGGAGAACAACTTGCTGTTCCCAGTCTGACCCGTGCCCGCTGCCTCCCTCCACCCGACTCCCTCCCCTACCTGTTGAGGGCGTTGAGCATCTCGATGGTGACGAGGACAGACAGGGCCATGGTCATTGGGTGCGGTGATTCAAAGACTCGGCAGTTCACTCCCTGGAAATGGGGGTTCTCCACACTGCACTGCAGGTAGTGACTCTGAGAGGACAGCAGCAAGCGGTCAGTGCACAGTGGGGCAGGAGACCCCCTCCTCCCCCAGTCAGCTTCTTCCCACGTCCACCCCATTACCTCCCTCAGGACCCCACATCACAGTTGCCTCCCGTCCGTATACAGGTACCCAACTCCCTAGCCCCACTATCCTGTCCTCTCCACTCCACACCCCCTAAACATGCCTCACACACCACCCTGTTATCCCCATACCTTTCAGATCATTTCTACCCTGCCCCAATGCCTTATCATCACCACCCTGAACTGTCTCTGCCTGAGCTCCCCCTGCCACCAAGCTAGAGTGGAAACATTGTCACCATCCGCACCCCCCCATCAGCCACTGAACAAGGAGTTCGTGCCTGCAGTGGGGCTGGGGATGACCAGTCTGTACTGGCACAGGGACTCACCAGCTGGTAGAAGGTGACCTGTGGTCCATCCTTGGCAGCCATGAACCACCAGACGGCAGCCCCAACGGTGGCAGCTCCCACGTAAACTATAGAGAGAGAGAAAGGGAGAGAGGACAGGGTGAGTTAACCCCCAACCTGTGACATTCCGGCACTGGGCGGTGGTGCAGGATTCAGAATTAACCCACCAACCCCCATCACAACCAAATTATAAAAACATTCGTGTCCCCCGAGAGCTGAAGATGCTGCAATGGCCAACAGCAATCTGGACAGTGAGCCGATAAACTCCTCAATGCTGATGCACAGAGTGTACCAGCACATCTTTCTTTATTCACTCATGGGATGGGGGAGGGTTGCCAGGTGAGCCAGCATTTATTATCCATCCTCAATTGCCCGCAAGATGGCACTGGTGAGCTGCCCTCTCGGACTAGTATCCAGACTGGCGGACTGGGACGGGGAGGGGGAGAGGAGTATGGGACGGGGAGGGGGAGAGGA